GTGGGTCATGTGGGTGGGTCATGCTGGCAGAGTATGTGTTTGCTTAAACGGTGGATTTGCAAGGAAGCTATATTTTCTTTTCAAGAACATTCTTTTGAGCATATATTTCTAACTTCATGTTCTTGATCCTTTTCATGGGTGTCAACTGTTTTCAGGATTGAAAACTTTCTAAAGATTGGATTATTTTAGAATTATTGTCTTGACATCACTATATGTTACAGCCCTCTGTGTTTTCTCGTAGATGCACAATTATGTTTTTATTAAATATACTCGCTCTTTTGAGTCAGGTATTTAGTCTGAGTCTGAAATGGAGAGACTGTTATTTGATTATCATTTAATCTGTCTAGAATGCCCTTCTTTGCATGAACCTGACTTCACCTGTCCTTCAAGATATATTGTAAATGCCCTTTGCCCCTATGAAAACTCCCTTTGGCCTTCTCTTGCTTGGATGTGCATTGAGCACAGGCTCAGGGATTGGTCCGACCTGGTTCTGCTTGTGACTCTACTGCCTGCTATGTGGGTGATCTGAGTGATTCAGTTAACTTTTGCCCCTGGGTCTCAGCTTCTCATTTGAAAAGTGGAGTTGTTTTCCTCTCCTTTCTTACTCCATCTGTCTCCACTGCTTCCAAAGAGACTATCAACTTGTTTTTAGCTTTGTACAGAGTGAAATAAAGTCTGCTCTAAATGCAGCCTTTAGCTTTAATAACTTTATAAATGCAGTAAATTTACAAAAATATTGTTTGAAATGTTATCTCAATCTCTCATATACTTAGGTAGTGGGACAATTTTGAAAAGCACATTTTTAATATTACATTTTTTCTCAGATCCTTTGAGGATGTCAGATTTTGAAATAAACTTGGGAGTTTAAGCACTCTGCTTGTAACCTGTCTGCCTCCTCCTGTCTGTTTCATTCTCTACGTATTTATAGTATTTTAAGGATTATTACATAATACGTATGGTTCTGTATGACATTTTAATATATATTGTTTGAATAAATGAGTTGGGATTGATTCACATACAATACCAGAGTATAGTCTGAAATGCTTTTATTGCTTTTGAAATCATCTCTTTTTGCCAATGAGAAGCTGGCTTTCTAGGTTGGGTTAAATTTCATGGAAGAGGCTTCCATAAAGTCAATCCGTGTTTGAAATACTCCAACAAGATATGTCTTATTTGGCCTGAATTCTAACAACTTCTTTCTGAATAGTTGTATTTTATGAAACTCAGGTTATTGCCAGCCAATTGGACACTCTTCAGTTGCTTTGACAAATATACAAGGGGGTCATGCATGTTCTTTAATAGTAGAGTTTTAATGGTGGCGTTTGTGTCCCTGAGACCTGTGTGTTTCCATAGGGAATGCAACTCCTATTTTCTCTGCCCCATTTCCAGTTTAAAGTTTAAATTGAGATTTGTTGCTAAGTTCTGCTAAAGGAATTTTTGATATGCATTTGAGCTGGTGAAGTGAAATAAATTTCCAAGTAGTTTCTTTGAAGATTTATCAGGCAGTTTTGTTGATGTTTCTTGCTTCATTTCTCTTACCCATCAAAGATATAAAATTCCAGGCTAGGCAGCAGCCACGGTCCTGGATCTGCTTGAGCATGTCCAAGCATTTTAAGAAGAGCAAAATATTTAGAGGAAGAATTTGGAAAATCAGCCTTAAGGGATTTAACACATTTTTCTTCTCCTAATTCAGTCCCGTGTTTGTCCCCCTAATGGAGAAAGGTCATTAATGGGTAAGATTTACTGAGTCAGGAAAGGTTTTCAGAAACTAAATTTGTTTCTAAAATCCAGATCTAAAGAAAACAATTGTTTGGAGAACTGAAAGAATATATTTTGACTGTAAATTATACTCATTTAATGCATATATAAATAATATAGTTATATATAAGTCGACTAATTGGCTTGATAATGGAGAGTTAAATGAATTTGAGACATTTGAAGTTCTGTATAAGTTTCTAGGAAGGCAAAATGATTGATCAGACCAGCATGACTTCGAGTTTGAGATGCCCAGCTACCCCTTTGCTGGCATGTTTTACCTCCCTGATACAGAGATCTGGGTCAAGGTCATAAGTGTTGTGAGGGGGGCAGTTCTATACTAGTAAGTGTTCCAAAGCTGTGACATTTTTTATCTCATAATCAAAAAACCATAGGGTAATTCCTGTACTTTTACTGAATTCCTGTCTGGCAGAAAATAAGAGGTGTGTGTGTGTGTGTGTGTGTGTGTGTGTGTGTGTCTGAAAAAAGGGAAATGTGATCTCAAGGCTTATTGAAATATGAATTCTTTTCCCCCTTCTTTAACTATCCAAGAGAATTAATATAAAAGAGTTTTTATGAACTCTGGAGTATTTTTGAAAATTTTGGGTTTGATTATTTATCTTTTATAAGCCAATACTTTATTTTACATTAGTTACTTAGATTTGTATTTAGACTTTGATTTGACCCAAAAATCAAAGACTGTTATGGAAACATTTCTTTATTAATTTTTATAAACATCTCTGTATGCTGGGAATCTATTTTTAAAATTTGATTTCATTCTATATGTGATAAAATTGAAAAATATTATTTATCATTTGATAAGGTGACAGTTACTTCATTCCACTCTATCCCTGTAGAGGATCCTATATACTATTATATGATTGAATATGTTTTTGAAAATAAGAAGACTAAATACCTAGAAAAGAGGTTAAAAAAATAAAATGTAGTTAATATTTATTCCTTAGAATTTTTCTAATTTTTATGGTCAAACATTAAGTTTTTTTTTTAATTAATTAATTAATTAATTTATTTATTATTATTTTTTTATCCTCACCCGAGGACATTTTTTTTCCGTTTTTTGCACAGATAGAGTGGGAGGGAGAGAGAGAGAGAGAGAGAAACATCGACGTGAAAGGGACACATCAAGTGGCCGCCACCCGCATGACCAACCAGGGCCGGGGACAAACTGCAACTGAGGTACATGCCCTTAGCGGGAACCAAACCCGGGTCTCTCCGGACCGCAGGCCAATCAAACATTAAGTTTTATGAGTGTTATGAAATTAACAGAATTTAATATTTATGAAATATATATTTGTTCATAGTGTTAAAGAATGGTATGGCAATATTTACAAAAATAAATCTTTTTAAGGTAGTGGGACAAATAATTGGACTTTCCAAGTGCTCTGAACACTGATTTTAAAATGATATTCATGTTGGTGGGGCTGGGATAGTGTTCTCTGCAGGTTGCCGTGTCTGGTTGCCTTATATTCTGTGGATAATCTGAGCTCAGTCCCTCTTGGGTGTGATGCTCAAGGCTGGGACATTCAGACTGTAAACAAATTCTCCAGGTTAATAGATGGCTTATATGCAGCATTGATCAGATGGCAGGAAGCCTGATGCCGAGGCTGATGCTGACTGCCTCGTTCTTTCTGGAAGGAAGGCCACCTCTCAGCACAATTAACATCAAGAAGTTCCTTATAGAGCAGTTTTATTTTTCATTCACACGTCCCCTGTGTGTCCTGAGTCAGTGTACAGTTACCTTTATGGGTCTGTACAATTGCACTCTTCCCAAAGCCGCTGCTATATTTATTCCAGGAATGACCTTTTCATTGCAAACTCTCCTTCCAGAAGGGCTTAAGGACCAGAGATACCACAGACTTCGGGAAGTGCCAGGGTGAACTTCTAGTTATGCCCTTAGAGATGAGCGAGGCGCTCTGGGTGGGTGGCAGCCCTATCAGATTGATGCGTGGAGGGCAGGGCGCACTTGGGTCTCCTCTATTATTTTGCTGTTATCATGTGGGGGGCATCCAGGTGGTATGGATGGTAGTGGAACAGGCAAGGCATGTGAACCCAGACGCACAGCTCTCTGCAATGTCCCAAGCGCTCCTTAGGCAGCTCTCGGAACAACTTAGAGGTTGTTAACAGGCTGCTTTGTAGGACTTAACCAACAATGACTCTTGCTGGTTGTATTAGAGGATTGGTGAGCAGTTGAAGAGGATGTGATGAGAAGTAACAGGGAGGGTAAAGTGGATGTCTATCTGCCTTGATCACACATATAGCAATAACAACAAAGAACTGAACAGCTCTTTGCCAAGTATTTTCCACTTATAGTCACTAATTCTCATTGTGCCCTTAGGAGCTGGGTGCTGTTTATCTGTATTTTACAGACGAGAACTCAGAGGCTAGGAGCCCTTATAATGACGTACCCAAGGCCACAGGCTAGAAAATTGAGATGTGGTCTATTTGCTTTTAAAGCCCTTTGATCTCTTTTTTATACCATGGGGCCTCCTCCTAGCCAACTAAATAACTCTGCTCATCTTCATGCAGTTTGGGATGCTTTCATTTTTAAGGTCAATTTTAATTTGCTGTGCTGTGAAAAATGAATTTGTAATTATTTTTTAAAATGGCTGGTTTCTCTACCTGAAAAATATCTGGATCGTTTTTATGGAACATGATGATCAAAAGCTTGCTCTATCATTCTTACTACCGGAAAATGGTATGGAATTGCCTACAAACCTTCTACTATACTTATACCCAACCTTGTACTAGTTTTTGTTCTGGAAGGTATAGGACTCATATGGAAAGGATGGAATTAATGAATTTCTCAGTTTTTAATGGTTATCTTTGATTTTTGTTTTGAACATGTGTCTAGTTTTATAATGCTAAAATTGTACTTAAACAGAGTGCAAGTCTGTATTGCATATAGCAATTAGAAAGTAAAGTCCTGATTCTATCCTACAAATGTGGATCGAATGGCTGGTGGCAATATGCCGACACTGAGGGCAAAGAGCCAGGTCCCCTGGGTAAGGTGTCTGCACCTCCCTCTGCTGCAGGTGTTAACAGGCTCCATAAATGCTGAAGCCATCAGCCATCACGTTCTTCGTTAGCTGGGATCATTGTGCCTCATGACATCTACTAATAGGACTATTTAAAGCTCTCCAGGGTAGAGATGATTTTGTTTAGCATCTTTACTAAAGGGACAGTACCTCACACATTTTCCTTCTCTCTCCTTTTCCTTCCCACAGATGAACACAATGACGTACAGAAGAAAACATTTACCAAATGGATAAATGCTCGCTTTTCAAAGGTAACCATGACTTTCAAAGACTTTTTGATGATTCAGATGTTTCATTTGGATTGATGGAGTTTGGTCGGAAGTGTAGTGAATTTTTCCCATGAAATGTGATCTAACAAAAATATACAGATACATTTATTTTTCCCTTTTTCCTTCTAAAATAGGTTGATGTAGAAATTCTGGTGTAAATAGTTCAGGGTGCAAACTAATCTTTATTTTTACCTAGAAGTCTCTAGACATCAGGCCAACAGTTTGCTCCTTTTGACTCTGTGAATCCTGGATACATTTAGAAAATGAACATATCATTGGGAAAATGTTGTGTTCACTTAGCTTAAAAAGATGATTTCATTTTGCCTGGTTGGAATCAAATTGTTATCATTCAGGCAGCCATTCTACCCTGTGCAGAAAAGTTTGGGGATTTTTATACTTGTGGTTGTGGCAAATAATGTTTATCTGCCATGTTAGTCTTTTCTTGTGAACTTATCACTTCTTTCCCCAGAGATATACTCTTTCCCAGTATCTCTTACGACTTGGTTTTTAATCAAGGTTTTGATGGATATTTTTCTTGGAGGCAGAGTAAGCAGAAGAGAGGAACTGGCAATGCTGTCTTCAAACGTGTCCCAATAGTTTCTCCATTGGTTATTGGACGGGTTCCCTCATGGTGTCACTAGGCAATTCAGAGGCTGCTAGAATTTTGTCCTCTAAGTCTGAGACGGGAGGAAAACTTTCAGGTTAATGGATTATAGGATGGCACCATAGCAAGATGAAAAATAAACCTTTCTCAGAGGAACACTACTGTGGTATTTTAAATAGTCTGAAAGCTATTTTAATTGAGTTATTTTTCAAAAACTTCTACCTGGGAAGGTTGCAAAGTTTAGGAAAGTAAACGCTGGTATTTCTTTGAAGCAAAATGAGAATGTTTTAAGATTACTTTGAGGAGCAGTACATTTTAAAAATCGTTCCACATCCCCATATTTATAGTTGATTATTATTATTATTATTTTTTTATTTTTTTTATCCTCATCCGAGGACATTTTTCCAATTTTTGTACAGATAGAGAGGAAGGGAGAGAGAGAGAAAGAGAAACATCGACGTGAAGGGACACATCGAGTGGCTGCCACCCGCACGACCAACCAGGGCCGGGGACTAACTGCAACCGAAGTACGCGCCCTTAGCGGGAACCGAACCCGGGTCTCTCCGGACCGCAGGCCGACGCACTAACCGCTGAGCCAAACCGGCCAGGGCTATAGTTGATTATTTGGTTGCAATGTATTTTTAGGTTTTATAACTATTTTTGTGGGATATTTCATGTTGCCTCTGAGAATGTAAGGAATGTGAAAACTGTCTGACATTGACAGAAAGGTCAAGACTATAGAAGTGTTTGCATAATTGATGGATTTCTGTATAGGATTATTCCAATGCAGATATAGGTGGTTTTTTGTTTTTTTTTTTTTTGGTAAATTTTCATTTATTTTGTTGTAGAGGCACAGGTAACACCTGGGTACTTTGGATTTCCAGTAGTACCAGAATAGATTATTTTATGAACTTGATATTTAAAATTCTACATTTATAGTGTATGTATTATTTTATAATATTAAATCATGGCTTTAAGTCCCATGTAAATGATTTGCCCCAGGAGGCAATAATTATTGCCAACACGATGAAAAGACCAAGTCATGTTGTCACTTCCAGTAAAAGTTGCAGTGATGTAAACTGACACGGAAGCTAAAAGCTTGTTTTATTTGGAGAAACAGCATCAACATTAGAGCTGACCCTGGAAACATTTCCTTTGAGTTTACTCCTCGTAAGAAATCAGGGTCCAAAAGGATATTTGGATGAGCCTAGAACACATTTATCAAATAAATTATGAATATTTGGATATACTGAGGTGGAGGGTTATGCTATAGGTACATGTATATTTTCCACTGGCTGTCGTAGTCCAAAGGCACACTGCTTCCATACTGGTGATCAGAAAAGGGACAGACTGGCAGATTTCCATGGACGCCTTGAATGGCTTAACTTCCGCAGAGCTGGGATAAGGTTGTATTTTTGTCTTTTTTCAGACAGAGTGGGAGGGAGACGGGGGAGAGAGAGGGGAACATCGATGTGAGAGAGACACATTGACCAGTTGCCTCCCGCACAACCTCGACCAGGGCCAGGGACAATCCACAACCGAGGTACGTGCCCTTGACCGGAATCGAACCCGTGACTCATTGGTCCTTGGGCCACCACTCTAACTGCTGAGCCAAACTGGCCAGGGCTAAGGTTGTATTTTGGCATGCTGTTGTTAGGTTATTGAAACCTAGCACAAGAAAAAAAATCCTGTTGAAGGGGATGAATTGTATGTCATTCCTGTTGTATCCATGCCCTTTGGTGTATTGTAGTGAAGTTTAAAAGTAGAATGATTGGTTGAATTTGCTGCTTTCCTGTTGTGTGGGCCCCTCTAGAGAAATAGGCCCCAGGTGGTAAGAAATCCAACAGACCCTGATGGCATCTTCTGCCATTTAGGAATTTGCTTTCAATTCCTTCTTGGGACATTTTAAACTTCATGGCTCCCTCCCCAGCCAAAGCTTCAAACACCAGGTCTTGCTGGTCTCGGTGCCGTGTGTATTCAGCATCGTCCCTTTCTCTCCATCTTCACGGACACCTTCTCTCGCTGAGTCAGTATTATCTGAGTAAGGAAAAGTTATGAAAGTCTAGTAAGAAATACTAGTGGGAGTCCTGCCAGCTCATCTATTTGGGTTATCTGCCTTCTATTATCTTTGAACGACTCTACAACCCTGTGAGTTGTAGACCACAGATAATCATGCAAATGATACTTATTCATAGAAAGGTAAAGTAGCTTGGAATGCAATTGTTTGTTGCTCCTTGGATAGACCTGTTTTCTCATCTATTGTAAATGTATTTCAACTTTCCTTTATAGGAGCATTTGGCTTTTGGAATTCTCCTTTGAACCAGTTTTAACACCTTACTGGTTCCTTCATGAATTAATGAGTTGAAGTCTTTAACACATGTTAATATTCCATTTGTATGAGATTCACGACTTTACCTTTTAAAAGAAGAATTATCCCTGAACACACAGACCGCTGTATTAATTGGCCAACTGGCTCTTCCTTTTCATGCTTCTCCTTATCAGTTCCCTTCCTTCCACTTTCTACAGAGTAGCTGGAGTGGTCATAAAGTGTAAGCCTAAGTACCTCTTCTTTTCGTAAGATTCATCAATTGCTGTGCATTTTAGTACTCAGGTTTTTTTTGTTTTTTTTTTTATCCTCACCCAAGGATATTTTTCCATTTTTTGTACAGATAGAGTGGGAGGGAGAGAGAGGAAGAGATAGAGAGAAACATCGATGTGAAAGGGACACATCGAGTGGCTGCCACCAACCAGGGCTGGGGACAAACTGCAACCGAAGTACATGCCCTTAGCGGGAACTGAACCCGGGTCTCTCCGGACCGCAGGCCGACGCTCTAACCGCTGAGCCAAACTGGCCAGGGCAGTACTCAGCTTTTTTAAAAAAAAATTCTCATCCGAGGATATTTTTACATTTATCTTCAGACAGAGTGAGAGAGGGAGGGAAAGAGAGGGGAGGGGAGAGAGAGAGAGAGAGAGAGAGAGAGAGAGAGAGAGAGAGAGAGAGAGAGAGAGAGAGAAACATCAATGTGAGAGAGAAACATCGACCAGTAGTTACCCGCACAACCCTAACCGGGGCCGGTGACGAACAGCAACCAAGGTACGTGCCCTTGGCTGGAATCGAACCCAGGTCTTCGTACTCAGCTTTTAAGGTCCTAAATAGTTACCCTCTCCCTCTCAGTTTACTCCCAATTTCATTTTACTTTACTCTTGCCCCCTGATTATGCTCTAGCCACGTAGTCTGTGTCCCCCAGGGTCTTCCCATGGCTTGTACACAAGTGCTGCCTCCGTCACTTCCTGGCCAGCTGCTCCCCCCGCCTGAGCTAAAATGTCACTTACTCAGCACACCCATTCAGAGCTCCCAGACGAGGGTAGAAGTGTTTTCCTTTGGTGCATTCATTATAGTTGTAATTTAAATAATTGACTCTGAAAGTGTTTGTCTCTCTTTTCCTAGACAGCAGCACGTTCCATGGCTGCAGGGCTGTCTCTTTTGTTCACTGGAAGAACTTCAGGCATTTAGCAAACACCCAGAGAGTATTTATACACTTAATAAATACATGAAAGACAGTGACTGAGACATAGATTTAAATGCCTAACAATATACATTCATAAGTCAGTTAGAGGTGGTAGATTGGAAAGAGAGGAGTGTGGAAATGACAGCAAAATGGCATCTGTGTTATTTCATGGGTATGAATACATCAGGGCTTTTTTTTTGCATTTATGCAAGAAAATAAACAAATCCGGCTCTGCAAAGTTTTCATATTTACCTGGGTTTTTTTTGAATTGTGTTGCACAGTTTATTAAATCACCATTTGGATTTCATACGTATCATTCCCTTGTTTACCGGATAGAATTCTTCAAATAGGATCTACCTATAAATTTACAGTAAAGAAAATGAGATTTAAAACATATAATTGGCTTAATTCATTCCTTGATAAAGGATCTGGACGAGAGCTTGAGAATACTAGATAATATAGGTCTAAAACCACATTTTGATTTTTAAGTCTCTATATAGAATTACGATAGCTAAGACAGCATTCACTATAGATATATATTCTTTTTGCTGTGAGTCCTTGTTAACACCCCACAGAGTACACAATGCTTTGGAGTCTGGGTATGCTGAGAAGTCACACAGTATAGAACAATTTATGGGTGTTGGATTTTGAAAAGTTATGTAAAGCTCAGGAGAAAATGATTATGTAGAGGAGCTAAGAGTTAGAACATTAAGCACTTCGTGCTAGATATGCTGCTCATTTATTTATGACCTCTGGCAAATTATTAGCCAATTTTTTCAGGTCACTTCATTTTTATTCCTCTAGCTATGAGACACTCTTGATCATAATTACTTGCCTCATATTACTGAGAAATAGAGAGGCATTATTGT